GGTGGAGTTGTGGTCACGTGATAAACCAACTTTCAAACACCAAGCAAAATTTAGTTTAAACGACAGTTCTTACAGTAAACGAGATTATGGAGCTTCCCTCATGATCAGTTTCTACATAAAATTTCGAAACTCCTCCTAGTCCTGGCGTTTTGAGGATCGGGTTGCGGCAAGGCAACTACTACCACTTGATGGCAAGAAGATCTCAAGAAGCGCCCTTTTTCTATAATTTATTGACAAGAGTACATTTCAGCATTATCTTTCTATTCAAAATCGTTGGTTTTGAAATTGTGCTCTGTTTTAGGTAATTCGAGGATCTCGTTCGGAAGAGAGCATCGACATTTACATTTCGCACCTTATTTCATGAAATCATCGAAAAACTACTTTGAACAAGATTAATACGAAAATTCCTCCGGAGAATTTATCCAGTCAAAACTTTAACTCGATGAAGATATAGTTTGAACAAAGACGCTTCATTTGGACCCACGAATAAATACATTGGTCAGAACATTGCATATAGGCTTATCCCAAATCATCTCATCTAGTCATGTCAGAGAGAAAAGCAATCAACAAATGGTATCCACCGGACTATGATCCTCTGAAAGTTCCAAAGAAGGAGAAATCCCGCAATGCTAATAGCAACAAAGTCAGATTGATGCTACCGTTTTCCATGAAATGCCTACAATGCAACGAATACATATCTGCTAGAAGGAAGTTCAACGCCAGAAAGGAAACAACAAGCGAGAAATATATGGGATTCAAGATCATCAAATTCCATTTTAAATGCCCACGTTGCAATAATAGTATCGTGTTCAGGACAGACCCTGCTCTGGCTGGATTTGCACCTGTCGAAGGAGGTGTAAGAAACCACGAGTCAATGGCCAAGGAGTCTAAGATCAAGCCCATGGAGACTGAGGATGAGATTCTTGCAAGACTCGAGAGGGAAGAGGAAGAGAGCAGGAAATACAAGGAGCAACAGGAGAGACGAAAGAAGAACCCCTTCTGGCAAAAGCAAAATGAATCCAATACTGACGTTATGACAAACCTCGAAGAGAAGCTCGCGAAGCAGCAGGAAGAACAACAGATGCATGATCATCTAATGTATCTCCAGGCTAAAGCTAGTCGACTACAAGAGTCAGGTGGGCAGGAGAGACTCGTGAAAGAGGCACAAGCCAAATTGGAGGAAGAGAAGAATTTAAAGCGGGAATTAGAATCAGACGAGCTGGAAGTAAAATCATTTACTGTGCAATCGGGGTCCATGCAAAATGAAGTAAAGCAGCCTCAAACAGTGAGCGGCGTGATATCGGTTAAAAGAGCCCGTACAGTGAAACCAGAAACGAAGCCTGTTACTGAAAATGCTGAACAAGCAAGGGAAGCTACCCCAAAGAGTCAATCACCGGAAAATCCCAAGAAGGAGCTACCGGGTCTATCCGGATACGGGTCTGATTCTGACTGATGCGTGTTGCGGCATGTCATATAACTCTTTAAAGCGAGATAACCGTTTCGCACTACACATGCTACTTGAGCGGCGCGGCTTGACTTATCGTACACATCCACCATCTAGCCCCTGAGGCGCCCTTGACGAATACCCTATTGTTTTGACCGAGCATTCCATAAGCCTACCGATGATCGTGGTGACCCTGGCGATTATCGCTGCAACTGTCACAGCGACCGTGTCTTGTTCTATGTACACGTGCCTGGAACGACAGCTGACTGAACAGGTGCAGCCTAAGACAGTTTGCCGCCTCATTAAAGACGGCTCCAACATAATAGTCGCAAGTTCTAGGGGTGATCATTTATGCCGATTTGAGCCACATGCGTCCTCAACAGTCGTGAATAATATTTATAAGCAGTGTGGTGTTCTCCAGGATAAGCGCACTTCCAATATCATAGCCAACTTCTATAAGAACACGGTCGGTAAGGGTGGCTTCATCGAAGTATGGCTCAATAAGGCCATCGAGCCACCATCCCTTGTGCTGAGTATACTAAATCGGTTTCAGCCATATGAGGAACCTTTGGATTCAACCAAGATTTTCATCTCCTCCAAGCTCTCAGGCGATGTGTATGAGATTATGATCGATGGCCTGAGATATCAATGGTCGATCGAAGAAGAGGTTCTACGAACAGAAAGTACGGAAAATGAAATTGCAATGACTCTGGACTTCACAGACCCCGAGGATATATCGTTGCAGACTTACAAAAACGTAATCAAGTCTCACTTATCGATATGCATTGGGCTATTTTTTGCAAGTCAGAAACGTCGATGATATTATTCATAAGTGAAATGACTCAAAGTTTGCACCTGAATCATCTCCTCAGTTGGCTCGAAGTTGCGCTGGATCTCCAACAATTCGTTCATAAGCTGTGGAACACGCTTTGAATCGATGTCCTTACGACAAAGGAGGATTCCGCGGACGTACTCAACCGAACAATCAGCAAATACTGGCAAGATTTCTTGTTCCCAAAATGGTGGTATCTCCTCAAATGGGTTTTCAAATGTTGCCATATCACTCAAGAATTCTATAGCAGACAATGTCTTGACGAGAAGCATCGCATCTTTTCTGGAAAAATGCTTGTCCAACTCCCCATAAAATACCTCCACATCTCGTGAAATGGCTTCACTGAACATCTTGTATTTTTTGGTAGCGTGGGGGTCAATCTTCTTACCGTCACCATGAAGAATGTTGTTGTAGCCCACACGAAGATAGGCTTTAATAAAATTGTCAAGCATCACAGTCAATGTGATAAAGTGTAGATCGTAGGTTCCCCACTGCTGAACAGCGGGCAAGCCGTCCTCACATATTAAGGACATCATAAGCTGCGACATACTTTTACCTTGCTCGGCTTCGTAGTCGGAGTCGACATACCAATCCTTAGTGAAGACTCTGCACAAAATAGGAATAGTGTCATTGACAATCATGTCAGCATGAGCACGCACAACCACAGCGTTGAGATCCGTGCTTGGTAAGATTGTGCTCATGATAGCTTGCTCAATACGCTCTGTGTACAGCGAATGAACTTTGTTCATGTAATTTGGCAAGAATTTGTCCTGGAGACGATCCGAGTTGATTTCGTACGTGTTACCCAAAGCTGTTAAGTAATCTTCAAGACCAGGCTTGGAAATCGCCGTCTTCTCTTCGTCTGTCATATTTTCCAAGTCAAGCTCCTCCTCCGCATTCGCCCTGAATCTGAAAAGACGTTTCAATTTGCTTTCTTTTATTAGAAGCTTGTCATTACCATAAAGAGCCATGAAATTACCGACCTCTTGATCCACAAGCTTCGTGTAGTTTTCAATCCTCTTGTTGTAGCACTGACACCAATGCTCGATAACCTCAACCAACACTTTACCATATCCTGATTTAGCAGCGACATCTGCGTGGTCTTTCAACATCTGCAAAGACGTTTTGTAGTCAGCCAAAACGTAAATATCTTTCGTCTCCTCTCTGACATAAGGATGATCGTAATCGTCTAGATCTTCTATTACCTGATGGTGGGGCACGACATCTGGCTCAACCGAACGCTCTAGGAAATACGTGGTTTCATTCTTCATGAGAGTATCGTTCCACTCAAACATCTTGGTGTCAATAACACGCATGTAGTCGTCAAGTACAGAGCTCTTGAGCTCCTCTCCCAAAATAGATCTTTGAGTCTTTTTGGATTTGTCACCCTCATGTAACGTCGCCATCATTTCACTGTGGTAATTGTCATAATCAAGAATACGCATCAAGTCTTCAGCCGGTGGATTCGTCGCGATCATGTCCATCGTGAACTTGTGAAGGTGGTTGTAGTATGTTTTTTCGATAAAGTCACCAACTGCCCAACTTTCAGGAAACATAGGACCAAAGGTTTGGATGGTGAATTCCAACTCCTCTCGAAGCCACCCAAGACTATCATACACATCCATCTTATCTTCAAAATGGTTGACACATCGGCTAAAGGTATCTTTGATGCTCTCTTCAAGCTTCGAATAAAAAAACTTCATGTAGTTCCTTGGCTCTCGTCTGTACTCGGAATAATTGAGGGTCTTCATGCCCTCTTTGCTTATGAGACCTAACCTTTCCTGCAAAGTAGCTTTGACATCCTCCTTATTCTCATACTGCAATATCTTGATCAATTTAAATACCAAGCTTGAGTTACCGTCTTTCGCAGCCTCTGTAGCAGTTATGCAAATTTCCTTAAGCAATTCGTCAAATAACCGGATCACCTTGCGAACAGGCTGAACAATTTTTTGAACAATCAGCTGTACATCATCAGAGAGCTGGCTGGCCTCCACTTCCATGTATTCAGCGAAATTGCGCACTTGAGTGACGTTGAAATGGATTCTGTAGATGTTTACCAACTGGTACAGTATATCCTCACTAACGATGGAAAGCTCCGACTCAATCATATTGCTGATATGATCCAAGAACTTTCTAAAGTTGGCGATATCAGTGTATAGATTTTGCACCTGGATCATGGTTTGATGAACAGAGGTGATATTTCTTAGGGTATCGTACTCCGCAACGTTCGTGATAGAATCGTCATAAATTGTATCAATCTTCTCAATGTTTCGCTTAACCAAAGAAAGTTTATCGACAGAGTCTTGGAGTCTCGTCAAGTTGGAGAATATGAAATCGATTTGATCTTGCGTGGCTGTACTGAGTTTCATGTCAATTGAGCTTTTCTCCTTTTGGAATTGACGCCGGAGTTCATCGATCTTTTGCAAGTCGCTCTCATCTCTAAGAAGATTAGAGATTCTTGACAAAGCCGCTTCGCTCATGGTAGAGTAACTTCGAGTTCCAATATGTTTCGAGAAACGGCCGAGCCTGTTGTCTACAAACAGTAAGTCGCGAACGTGATTTTCCTCACATGATCGAACCTGGGGTTAGCCAGTCTACTATTCTACGATTCAAAATTATATACTTCTCGTATGATGAAGCTCTATAGAGTGCCCGGCTTAGCCTCAGAGTTATCCTCAACTGAGCCATTTTCTTGATATCTTCTCCTTCAAACCATCTCCAACTCTATTGATTCCCGACGTTGCCTCTGGCAGTGTTACTTCCTCTCTTACCCTGAGGATTGTTGTTGTATCTTCTTCCACCTTGATGACTATTGAAGTTGCCTTGATGTCCTTGCATTGCAACATTGCCGGCGTAGGGACTGCCGCTACCCATCATGACATTTTCACCGACAGGACTATGAGAACCAACAAACCCCGGCATCATGAAGCCTCCAGGGGCCATGAATTGAGGATCGGGAGGTGGATACATCATCTGACCAGGAGGGACACCACCTTGCATTTGATACATCATTGCCATCTGTTGCTGCTGGAATTGAGCAGCCATGTTAGGATGCTGACCTTGCATAGGTGATACTGGGAATTTTGGATTGGGCGTTCCAGGGAATGCATGGGGTGCCATTTGAGGACTTGCATTTGGCATTCCCATCATTGGCGATGCCATGAACGGCATTCCGACGGGAGGTACTAGCATAGCAGGAGACTTTCCTTCAGGTGCAGCTTGCTTCTTGATGTACTCTTTGTAGTTCTCTTCTATCGTCGAGTCCCATGTTGGAGGCGTCTGGAACGCTTTTTCAAAAACAATAGGCGTGGACTTATCTTCGTGGTTTCTCTGTGCCGTGTTGAACAAGTTGAACATCTTCTTGAACTTCTCGACTTTATCTTTTTGACTTTTCTCAGTAGGAACTTTATCTTGACTTCCAAAGAATTCGACAGCGGAAACCTTATGGTGTCTTTTACCACTACTGGAAGGATTGCTGTTGTGAGTCCTCTGGTTATGAATGCGAGGAGATGGATTCTGGGGAGAGCCAAAGTATGCTTTTGGAGGGTTTGGGGAAGCATTTGACAGCTTCTGAGCCGCAGGAGTGAAAGACGGAGTGAATGCTGCCGCCTTAGGATTCAACTTGAAGCGATTGCCCTCCTTCCTTGGCTCTGCATGACTCTTCTTTGGTGAATCCTGGCGCTTGAGGATTTCATCCTGCTTCATCTTGTCCTTTGCTAGTATAGGCAAAAGATCGTTTGGCATCTTATGGGGAACCTTGAAGTTAGCACTGAATTCACGCAAAGCGTTGATTTCGCTTTGAGCGTTCAAGCGGAACAGCTCGTTTGTTGGCATAGGTGGTTTGGGTGGTATAGAAGTTGGCTTGGAGGGAACCTCACTCTCTGGCGCGGTCCCAGATACATCAGCCTTCTCTTGAGTGGGTTTGCGGGCTCCAGAACTCGATACAATGGCAGGATCATTATGATAGTGTGCACCGCGTTGCCCAGAGGCACTCGATTTAGTCGCAAGCTCCTGCGACGAAGGGCTTGCGTTCATGCTGTTTCTCAAGGCGGCCATGAGTTCATTACCCCTAGTGTCCGCTTGCTCTCTTTGCACACCAGAATACTTGTCCTCCTCATCCAATCCACTGTCATCAACAAGAACTCCTCTTTCCTCAAGAACGTGCTTGTCCGTTGTGGACTGTCCCTCAATTTCTTTTGCGAGCCGCTGAGCACGCTCCAATCTCTCATTGTAGTCCTTCGAGCTTTTGTTGATCTTGGTGGTGTACAAATGCTCGTCATAGGTAGACTCAACGCCAAACTTCTCTTCATTGACCTTGAACTGATCCCAAACACCAGTACTGCTAGTGGTATCCTCCAATGACACTGCGAGAGAATCATCGTCAGGAGTCCAGCGTTGCAACTCTCTCTCCCTCACTTGAAACGAAGAAGAGATGTCCTTATCTGTGCGAAACTCTGATCTCTTTGGGGGCTTGTAAACCTCTGGCTGCGGAGGAGTTGAGGACTGAGGAACAGATGGAGATGCTGGCTTTGGCTCTTGTGCAGCTTGGGGAGAAGGAGCGATCAGATCCTTTGGCTTCTTGGCCTGAGTGTCAGACTTCTTGGCTGGCTCTGGCACATTTGGCTTCTCGGGAACCTTCTCCGTGGACTTCTCAGCGGGTTTCTCAGTGGGTTTCTCAGAATCCTCCTCCTTAGAAGGCGCGGCGGTATCGGCCCTGGGAGCGGTATTGACTTCAATATCGATCAAATCCTTAGCTTGGATAATCAACTTTTCTGGTAAGGAAGCGTCAGCGTTTGATTTTTCATCGAGCACAGCTTTAGAAACCAATGTTGGCTTGAACAAGGCGACCGAAAGAGCATTTGAGCTCAGGGGGTCAACGTCAGCCACCTGCAACAATCCCTGGTAACGAGCGCCTGAGGATACTGTTGCAATAGTGGTTTTACCCAAAGACTTCGCAAGAACATCCATCAATCTGTTGTTTGCAGCATTGTGATCATTCTGCAGGGACAGTTGACTGTGTGAATCCCTAGAATTGCCATTGTAGCGGGAATTGGAGCGACGATGACCATTTTGGAAGGCACCAGGAGAAGAAGTGTTTTGATTGGGGCCTGCGCCACCAGTTTTGTTCTGGCGAGTGTTTTGACCCTTCATGAAGTGGAAAGTTTTGATCTCCCTTAAATCAATGATTCAGCTATGCAGAAGCGGAAAGACGAAAAGACTTCCTTTGCTTCAAAATGCCGATAAAGTGTAAAATGTACCGTCTTTGGGAAAGCAAAGACGCACGAGCAGCTCAAATGGGAGGCCCTAGGTGAGACACAGTGGCCAACCGAGCTTGAAGAAGTAAAAAAATATCTCAAAAACTTCTGCAGCCAAGGCAAGGAACACTAAGTGCTCGAATCCACTAAATAGCCTTGAGCTTGAAGGTACTAGCCAAAGTCCGAGAAATGGGCAAGGTATAGATTACTGGTGACCGAGTGAGGCCTTGGTGTTTATCTCGCTCGTTTTTGGGCCACACACGCCTGTCATTACGATCACCAGAGAAGAAGGATACGGAGGAGACGGAATAGTTAGAAAAATGCAATTGCGAAGAGCATACTCGTATTCACGTAAATATGGCCAATTTTGCGGTTTCCACTCGAAAGTGGCATTTGTGGTGACGACGGAAGTGCGTGAGTCGCAGTAGTAGGCTGATGCGGCAGAAGCGTCCTGTGCCTCCTAGATTGCCAGCGAGACCTGTGCTGTGCAGCCTAAGCGGTTTTCTCGCGTGCAGCATTTCCGTCTCGATCCTGCCTCAGCAACAGAAACCGTGGATGCCAATGCCAATTTGGACATCGTCCACGGCGTAATTCCAGTAAAATAAAACAAAGTCTTTGACGAAGTCAAGGTCTTGCGTGGAATAGGGGTCAAGTTCCATATCCACAATGTCCTGAATCGCTAGTTCCAAGGTTATCTTGCGATCCAAGGGCGCTTCTAACAGTAGGCTGCTTCTGCGCTCTTGGCCATTTTCTTCTAGAGTCTCTGTCACGATTTCATCAATAAGTAGGAACCATTTTTTTGCAAGGCTGTGGAATTGGCCCACAATATGTGTTAGATCTGTAAACTGCTGCTTGACAGTCTTATCAGCCAGGGGATCTTCCTCGATCGTTTCAAGGTACTGCTCCGTGGCACTTCTGTTGGTGGTTCCAGCAGAGGCAAACCACGCAAAAGCCAGCCAGAGGTATTCTCTCCAAGACATTGGAGTAGTGGCATGGCGTCTCCACCATTGTGGCTCGAAGGGGGCCAAAGTGTCTTCGGCGCTACCAATCCTGAGTGCCGAGAGGAAAGATGTAGATGTCCTAATTGAGGACAGATCGTCGTTGTTAGAAGCTCCATTAACCAGTGGAAGCTTTTTGAAAAGTTTGAGGAATTTGGTGTAGTCATTGAAAGTGGCCTTTTGCGGTGAATCATCTGCTGCAACCTCACACAGATCGAGATCGGAGGTCGGCATCAAAACAGCAAGATCATATAGGTTTTTCTGTAGCTTCAAAATCTCGTCACTTGTAGACCCTAGAAACCCAGGTTGTCCTAGTGCCAGAGAATCAAGATCTGGAAGACCAATTGTATAGAGGGCTTTGGAAAACAGCTTCTCCCCGAAATTACCTATGACGTCTTGTGGAATTGCTGAAATCACCGTGATCAAATAGACTAATGCACCCACTGTGGCGTAGTCTCTGTTGTTCCCTTCATGCAATAAATCTCCACTTTGAGATGAATGGTTGATGATAAGGATTCGCTTACGCAACAATGCCGCTTTGAAGATGGGGAAAATTAGTGGCCCCACAGCTGAAAGAATAGTAGGAAGCTTGAAAAGCGGATGGTGTTCAATCGGGTTTGTTGGAGTCTTTCTCACGTCCAAATGGCCGCTTCCGGTCACCTTGTTGTACAATTCCTCCAATAACTCTGTCTTTTCATCCTTCAAAAATGCTAAAAGCGTTTCGTCAATGGCATCGAGGTGCTCCCAGCCAATATTGCCGCAATTGTTGGGCTGCCACTGGTTCTTCAAAGGTTCCATGAAGACACCTAGGGAGTACATTTTTATTTTGCTTCTGTCGTTATCCGAGCCCAGATTTTGGTTGAGCTGTCTGAAGCGAGAGAGACCATAGTATTTGGTTGCCTTATGCTCCTGGCAAAGGTAGACTGTGTTTTCCTCATATGAGTGGATGCCTGATGGAAACGCCTTATACTCCAATCCTTGAAGGGAGAAATCGTTCGACGACTTGGACCATGCTAATTCGTAACCTTGTCTCTTATCAAACTTGACAAGAAAGACACAAACGGCCTTTGGGGTGGAATACCCAGCTGCCGTGGTGGATGAGGACATGGACATGAAGGTAGTACTTGTCTATCACTTTCGCGGGGTTTATACACTTACTACTTACGAAGCAAGTGCACATCAAAAAGCGAGTGATGGGTGCCGTTGAAGATATTGATACATTAAAATATTGAAACGAGTCACTTCGATCATTGGGCAAGAATTTCAACTTTTTAAGGCCCGTTACAGGGCCAACATGCACGGGGGAGCGTGATAGGGTGATTCACCGTACCAGCCCATATTTATGAACGATTCACATGGATTCCCTCAATGGGCCACTCGGAAATCATTCGTTCAAAAGAAGAACTTACTGTACTAAAGTACTGTGGCTTCTACGTCATCTTGATCCAACGCATATATGGCGCGCCGAATAAACCATATACTCCACTTACTTGCTGATATCAATAGGATAACGTCAAGCAAACTTGTGGATCAAGCAAGGATGAATCCCAAGGTGAGACTGCTATTCAAGCAGCTTCTATATATGGGCAAGGACTATCCAATTGAGTCAGGAGGTTACTCGAAATTTAGCAACAGTCTCAAGGGAGCCTTCCGCAAGACTCCAGTCAATTCAGAAGAGGATCTCACTCAAGCTCTAAAGAAGGGCGAGTATATCATTAAGGGTATGTCAATTAAAGAAAATTGTATCAATTGTTTACTAACGGCAGAGCTCGAGGCACTCTACTTTCTACGGAGATACAGACATCTTAAAAGAAGATACTACAACGACTAGATGCCGCATGTTATCAGACATTAGTGCTTTTATTGTAGTCTCAAATGCTAAATATCAAAGTCTCAGCAGGTCTACTGCCGACTCTTCCTGTCATGGTGATAGCAACCCCACGCTGTGATATCCCAGTGGAGCACTCTGTAGCTCCAATGAAGAAGGCGACTCGCCAACTTGGGCTCAGGCCCTTATTCTCAAAATAAAGTTCACCACCACGGCAACTAGAAGGAAAATGCACAACATGGTAGGCCCGAAACGGTCATCGTAAGGCCCAGAACCTCTCATACGGATAGCCTTGGCTCTCCAGTGGTAGGTAACCAAGGCGTAAACCATGGTCAACATGGCAATGAATGTGAACAAGCCAGCAGACACACGACCGATCTGGTCACCAAAGTTCAATAAACCGACACCAAGGGAGCCCAAGATGACGGTGAAGTTGAGCCACGACAAGAAAGTACGCTCATTGGCAAAGAAGACCTTTGGCTCCACACGTGCAAGCAAGGCTATTCTTTTGTTGGACGAGGACATATGGGGTGTTGTAGTTGGTGATGAGAGGTGGAGGTATCGAAGATATTAATCGCATTAGCATTCCTCATGCACTACGCACGTGGGGTCACAATGCAGAGAAGGTGTCACCATTTCAATACTAGCAGCCAAAGGCAGTTGGTGAAGACGGCGATGATTCAAAATTTTTGGTAGAATTTCAATTGCAGTGCATGAAAAAGTTGGGCGTGGCAAGGCGGGCTACGGTTCATGCGGTCGGAGTCAGATGGATCGACTTGGTTGTTAATGGAATGAGAATTGGTAGGCGGGGCAGACTACAAGGCGGGATAAGATACATTTCTCGTTGCATAAATATAGCTGTGGTGACTCCAACTTCGGAAACACCCGGGATTAAGATAAATAATTAAGGTTTTTTTGGAAACCTAACTTCTGGTCAAGGGAAGCACCTTGACACCAAAGTAGGAGTTTTGTGGGTTGGCCACACCGCCAAAGGCATTGTAGAAGGCAATGAAGGCAGTAATGACACCGCAGACACCGCCAGCACGGGTGACGCCAACTTTCAAAGTAAAGTCACCAATAGTTAACAAAATGAAGGTGATGGTCAACATGAAGAACAAGGACAGGAAGGCAAGCGTGGACTTGAGGGTGCATAAGAACAACATGAATGTGAATAGAGTCCAGCCCAATAAGAAGAAGCCCACAGCCAGGTGCATTTGCTCCGTGCCTTCGTAGGCAGCAGCGACACCGAAAGCTGGGACCTGGATAGCAGCGTAAGACAACCAGAAGGCACCGTAACTGGTGAGAGCGCACAAGGCAAAAGTGTTTCCGACAAAGCCTTCCCAGATACCTGCGCAGAATTGGGCAAAGCCGCCGTAAAAGCATGCCAATCCGACAACCACGTTAGGGACTTCGATACCCATGGCTTGTGCGTTGTACATGGAAAGACAGAAAGTAGTCAAGGCGAACCCGCAAAGCCCCAAGGGGGAGGGGTTCGCAAACTGGTGTTTTGGATAAGGAGTCAAACCGGGATTCAAGGTGCCGCCAAAGGCTTGCATCAACTCGTGGCGGTAGAAGCGGTTTTTGCCAATAGTGACGAATTCGTTGCCGTCGCCCAGAGTGTGGATTTTGCCCACGGGAGTCTCGAGGGAAGTGGTCTCTTTATACGAGTGCAGACTTTGAGAAGACATGATTGAATTTTTCCCGATCTAAAGTGGTGTAAGTGGTGGTGAACTGCTGATGCTGCGATGGGGTGATGATAGCCTTGGCAGAAGAAAAAAAGCGACGTGAACAGGCAGTTACGTGAAGTGGGCAATCGATGTTGCAGTTGCAGTGGTTGTAAAAATATATGAGGTCTCTGTAATCACCAGGCGATGGCTCCATTTAAGTACAGCGGGTGAGGCTTTCTCGTGTGGTGCTGCACCGCAGGCTCGGCGAGTGCCAAAAGCTTTCTTGCAGCCATCGGAGCCCTGTGGGGAACCAAGTGATTCCGCAGCCCCACCGGGATTCCAAAAGGATTTTCTTCGTATATTGTTGGCTTTTCAGGAGATTATGAGCCTCACGGGCGGGTTG